GGGGACTGCAAGCTAAACGCTAGCATGCTAAATGCTAGCATACTAAACACTAGAACGCCAAACGCTAGCATGTTGGATTCTTTTCTGGACTGTGTTTATTCCCCGGGGTGTTTTGCTCTCAGGTTGAAATGTTTTTAATTCAAAGGTTACCGAAGAGGAAAAATAAGTGTTATCTAACAGTTATTCTGTCTGGTGACTAGCTGGTTAGCTGAAAAGCTAATCAAGAGAAGCTAACCCTAAGCTAGCTGGACCTAGAAACTAAAATTTTGATCATTAACAAGAAGATGCAATATCAGACGAGCTAGGCTAAATTTCCCCCCTGCTTCCAGTCTCTGTGCTAAGCTAGGCTAAACACGTCCTACGTACTGTATTCACAGAGATGGATCAAGTGAAACATCTTAGACTCTCAGGAGGAAAGTTTCGTATTTTTAGTGAAACTGATCTTACAGAAGACAGAAGCACAACACACACACACACACACACTTCCCTTGAGGGTCCCGACAGCTTCAGGCTTCAGACGGTTCGGACGAAGCGCGCTGCTCTTCTGAGTCTACCTGAGCTCAAACATCTGCACTTCTGCTGCTGTCGGAGCGTCCTCACAAAGTTCTTCACAAAGTTCTCCGCATGAATGAAAAGAGTTTTTGTTGCTAAACCTACACAGACACAAACACCCCGGTCCCATCGTCAGGTATTCATGATTTAAGGTAGTTTAGGTGAAAAAAAAAGCCGAGGACGTGCTGCTGAGACCAGAGAGGACTTCATGGTCTCCACAGTCCCTCGATGGGTCCTGGTCCAGACAGCACTTTTAACGAAACCTTGGCAGGTAAAAGACAAACGTCCAGGTGATGAAGGTGTTAAACCCACAAACGAGGACAGAACAGGACAGGAGACTGCGATGCGTCTGCGAAGCTTCTACCACTACGAGAGCTGGCGGTTGGCAACTTGTTGACCACTCCGATGTCGGTGGTGATGAAGTTGGTGATGATGAAGATGGTGAGAGTTTGTTTGGAGACGTCCACCAGGCCGAGGAAAGAGACAGCGGCGTCAGCATCAGCTTTGACCCCTCGACAGGTCGAGTCCCGGCGACCTGCGGTGGGATCAGGAATCAAGACACAAGTGCGAACGAAACGAACACCAGCCGAGGCACGAATATTTAAAACCCCGCCCTTCTAACCCCGAGAAAAAACAAAGAAATAAAAAATAAAAACTTTTGGCTTTGTGGTTATGTACAGTGACTTCCAGTGGAGACAGTTTGGTGTCCATCAAGTTTCCACAGACGTACAGGACTGGATGTTGGCGAACCGGCGCGGTGTCAAAGGTCAGGGTCAAGTCTTCGAGCTGGGAGTGGGAGGAGCTAACCGTGTCAGTCTGTGTGTATGTAGTGATTCTCCAGTCAGCTTTATTCTCTAACTGTTGTGTATGGACTCTCAACTAGCTCCGCCCCTCCCTCTAGCTCCACCCCCAGCTACTGGTGGACCTCGTTGGCGATCAGACTGTCCTCCCCTGACTGAAAATCCGCCTCATTGATGCTGTTCCCTCCGTTGAGCAACTCCTCGTCGTGGGATGACCCTCGGTCCTCCTCGGCGCTGCCGCCGCCTGGCTCGTCTGAGTTTGGGTCCTGGAGCACCTGTGCGATGTACATCTGCTGCTGCTGCTGCAGCTGGAAAAACAAAAGATCACAACGAACGGGTTAACCAGCAGGACAGACCCAATCCTGACGGACGGCAGAGTCTACAACAAGTCAACGAGTTCCCTTTACAGTCCTCATCAGGTTCACAAGTAATACAGGAACTAAACCAAAAGCTCCAGCTAGCTTGTTGGCAAGCTGACAACCACAGACTCGTCGGTTTGTGAAGCCTCGTGTTCTGCATTTTGGTCGTTGCCATCTTGTTTTTTTTGCAACCAGTGAACAGGAAGTGACCATATCTGGACTGAGGAGGAGTGACGTAGAGACGCCTTATACGTCTCTGGTAGAGACCTGTCAATCACTGTGTAGCCCCGCCCTAAAGCATCCCCTGCTTTATGGTCTGTTTGACTCTAAATGGACCATAATGTACTAAATGAACATCATGCTGTATTGAAGAAGACTTGGAACTAGAGATTGAGACCATAAACTCATGTTTACAATGTTTACTGAGGTAATAAATCAAGAGAGAAGTAGAGTCATTTTCTCATACACTTCTATACAACCAGAGGAGTCCCCCCCATGATGGACAGAATGCAGCTTGACTTCACCTGCCGCCTGCTAACAACCCCAGGAAATTAGTTTTTCCTGGATGGCGAGGTCATGACCCGCCCTACTCTGCCTGACTGTTGGTTGGTTAGGGTAAGAATGTCTGGGTAAGCCAATCAGAAGCAGAGTAGGGCAGGTCATGACCTCGCCTTCCAAGGAAAAGAAAGAAGGATTTGTGAGCTAACAAACTCAACAGCTTGAGCTAATTTGTTAACTAACTTCTGGTTAGTTGGATCCACCCACCTGAGACTTGGTGATGGGGGAGGACGAGGGACGAGCTGGACGTCCGTTCTCGACAGCGTCCACGTCAGTCTCCTTGGTGTCGATCTGAGACAAGAGCACAGAGTGAGACTGAGCGCTTTGATGCTAACGTTTCTGTAGCAGCGTAAATAAAGAACGCTCTAGTACCTTGTAGTTGTGAGCACTGAGGTACTTGAAGTGTCCGAAGCAGACGTGAGACAGACAGACCACGATGGTGACGATCAGGACCACCAGAGTGAACATGGAGGTCGGCGTCTCGAAACCTGACGGCATATTAGCAGTTAGCATTAGTTAGCATTCAGCTAATGTACATGTTTGTTGATTTTAAAACCAAGTATTGTGTTTGTCATTTAAAATTTGTTTTGTTTGAACTTTTGTTAACAGACTTGATTTGGACTGGTCCTGAGAGACTTGATTTGGACTTGACCTGAGAAACTTGATTTGGACTGGTCCTGAGAGACTTGATTTGGACTGATCCTAAGAGAGTTGATTTGGACTTGACCTGAGAGACTTGATTTGGACTTGACCTGAGAGACTTGATTTGGACTTGACCTGAGAGACTTGATTTGGACTTAACCTGAGAGACTGACTGACTTGATTTGGACTGGTCCTGAGAGACTTGATTTGGACTTGTCTTGACTGACTGACTTGATTTGGACTGGTCCTGAGAGACTTGATTTGGACTTGGGGGCGGGGCTTACCTGTGCGTACAGTGGATAAGGTTGCGGGGCTTACCTGTGCGTACAGTGGAGAAGAAGAGGAGCCAGAAGAGGCAGAGGATGGGCGCGGCCACCACCTGGGTGACAGCTCCTGAGTGGATCTTCTTGTCCAGTTTGGACGGCAGGTAGGCGTAGTACATGTTGTACCTGTCCACCAGGTGTTTCAGCAGCATGTACATGAGACCTGCAGGAGGACAGGTGAGAGTCACACAGGTGATATACATATATACACATATATATAATATAAAAATATAAAGAGACTGACCAAAGGGCACGATGATTGGACAGGTGATGCTGTAGGCCATCACCACTGTGAACACGTTCATCATCCAGGCGTACGCTGCTCCAAACTGGAACTCATAGGCCTGATGCTGCAGGGACCAAAGACAATTGTTTCAAACAGGACAGAAGTACAGCAGCGCCACCATAAGGCAGCAATGTCCATCACACTAAACTGTGGAGGGGACAGACAACTGATCCAGGGTTAGGGTTATGTCCACATGGAGACAATAATGGACTCAGTGGTCTATTCACAAACTGTCAGACTCTGTCTGACTGAGAGGACTCCGTCCTCACCCTCTTGACGTTGCGGCGGTCTGCGGCGGAACGAGCCAGGCAGAGTCTGATCATGTACATGAGCAGACCCGGGATCCTCAGCAGGTCCATGGCGTTCCCGATGAACGCAGAGGCGATGACGTAGTTGACAAAGAACGCTCCGTTATCTGGCAGGAAGACGCACCTGAAGGGGACATGGAGGCTGCGTTAGAGCAGAACGTCCTTCTACTGACCTTTCAAAATAAAACTACATAAAGAACAGGAAGTCCAGGCTTTACAATGTTTAAGTCCTGTTATACATTCTAAAATGTATTGTACAAAAATGAAATTCTTATTTGATTAAAAAAATCTGGACTTAAAATTTAAAAAGTGTCAATGAGAAGAAACACGTTGTATGCTGGGAAATAAAAGTGACTCACTCAAATCTGACTTTGGCATCAGCCAAGAACTTCTTATCAAAGAGCCAACGGAAGAAAACATCCAGACTGTAGAACAGAGAGGATTCAGTGAGGTCACGGTCGTCACTCAGAGTCATTACAGCAAAGTGTTTCTATTACCTGCTGAGTCCGAGAGACGGCAGCAGCAGAACCATGAAGATCAGGAACGTGTAACATTTATGCATCGTCGTCCTGTTTTCTCCAGACCTGGAGACACACAGAGGAGGTCAGATCAGGGTCAACTCAGGGTCAAATCAGGGTCAGATCGGGGTCAACTCAGGGTCAACTCAGGGTCAGATCAGGGTCAGGTAAACATCAAATCAGGGTCAACAGTTCTTGGGCGGTGTCATCAAATGTTGTAATTCCGACATGTACATAAACATTACATCGTACAAAAGATGAAATAAAATACTCTGTGTTTAGTGTTCTATGGTCAATGGTCACATAATGATGGTTGTGTTTTAACAATGATTGCAATCGTGATATAAAACCATTTGGACTTGTTTCATCATTGTTGACACTCGACTTGGACTCGACTTACTGGACCAAACCTCCGTCTGGACTAATTAAGATTCAACGAATTTGAGATCTGACCTGGACTCATTTCAAGTTTACGTTGCTTGACTTTGGTTTTTGGTCATTCGACTTGATTTGAGATGAAGATTTTAAACAGTTTGAAATGTCTCAACTGGCTCTAAAATGTCTTAACGGTTTTCATGAGACTTGTTTGGACGTGTCTTCATTGACTTGAGACATTCGTGAACATTCAGACTTGTCTTGACTAATTCAAGACTTAAAGTTGGACTTGCCACAAAAGTCTGAACAACTGTAGTATGAATTGTAGTACTAATACTGTATCGTAGTACTTGAAGAGGAGCTGGTTACCTGGTCCAGTGAGCCTCGAAGAAGGCAGAGTAGTAGACGATGGTGGGCAGCAGAGCAGAGAAAGCCCAGAGCAGCAGAGTGGGGAAGAACTGAGTGATGATGGGATTCTGTCCAAAACAAACACAGCAGAGAGTCAGAGAAGAAGAACTATCACAAATGATCTGCTCAAACCTAAAGGCTGCTTGTGGTTCCTTACGTTGAGGTACTCCACCGGCTTGGTGACGTTGAACTTGTCCATGGTGGAGATGATGATGGCGGGCGTGGTGAGGAAGAAGAGCAGGAGGAAGAGGATGCAGTTGATGATGAAGCAGCGGATCCACCAGGAGATCCCACCGAGCGACAGGTGCTCCCTGCAGAAACAAACCCGGACACGTCAGGTGAGGGTGCGTTGGTTTTAGTATTTGCTGGTGTTTCAGGCGGGTGGAGCTTGTGGACTTACCAGCGGACGTTCTGCGGGTCGGGCGCATACGAAACACTCCAGTTGTAAACATGAAGAGCATCGCTGAACTGAGAGGATCGTGGCTCCTGACGACACCGACAACCCTGAACCTGACAGGCGTTGAAGTCCTTCAGAATACTGTGAAAACAGAAGGGGCGGAGTCACATGGGGGAGGAGGCAGGGTCAGAGCTGTGTAAATGATTCTACAAAGACTAAAGTAAACTTTGTGAACAAAATCAAAACATGTTATTATTGTTAAAGGAGTTGAGGCTCACATGGCGGTCATGGACTCGTTCTGGAAGGTGACAAAGGCCATGCCCAGCGGTTTGGTGTGGACCTTCTCTTTCTCCTTCCTGTACTCCTCCTTCAGCTTGGTCTCTGTCTTGGTGTAGTAGCTGACCGCCTCTTCCTGCAGGACAAATGCTAACATGCTAACAGCAAACCTCCTAAACCGGACCAACACATCTAATCAGACCAGGTTTACTCAACTTTAACCGGCTCCGATAAAACTTCAACCGGCTCCGATAAAACTTCAACCGGCTACGATAAAACTTCAACCGGCTACGATAAAACTTTAACCGGCTACGATAAAACTTTAACCGGCTATGATAAAACGTAAAAAGTGTTAGCATTACCGGTAGCATTAGCGTTAACGTTACCTCCTCACAGCCGGTGATGGCGCAGCAGCAGAGGTGTCCACAGGGTTTCGGGTTGATCATCGTGGGAACGTGTTCCTTCGCCATCAGGTCAGTGAAGAACTTCTTACTGCGCTCCGTCTTCTTCCTGACGAACACAAACACACAGAACACGTGTGGACGAAACAAACACATGTTCCTTTAAATGATTATATCCCAGCATGCACCTCTGTGTCTCACCTCTCTGCATTCAGAGACATCAGTTTGGCCACGTTGTAGCAGATCCGAGCCTCCAGAACGGTGCAATTCTCATATGCTTGTCTGAAGAACAATGATCAATAATTTAATATCATTAGAACATTATTATTAAGTGGGAAATGAAAGATTCTTATTCTGATTCTTGAATCAGGATAAGAATCTTTATTAATGTCTAACCCTAACCCTAAGAACAATGAAACCATTTTAACTTTAAGTTACTACAAAAGTATTAATAAAATGACTCTGGTTATTTAAATGTTTCAATAACAGTGGGAATAAAAAACTAAATATAAACACTGAACACAAAACTTACACATACATCTTCATTTACTGAACGGAATACTAAAAACTACATTCAATTATATACCTGTATGTATATATTTGTATATATAGTTTAATTTAGTGTCAAATTCAAAATAAATCATGTCAATAAATGTAAAAACTAAATTTAAGAGGTTTTAGGGCTTTTGAAAACATTTAAAGGAGCAAAATGAAGAAGAAAGAGAAGAAGGACCAGAAGGAGAACAAAAACCAGAAGGAGGAGAAGAACCAGAAGAAGAAGAAGGGCCAAATCCCAATGTCCCCCCCTAAACCCTCAAACCCTGAACCCTCGAGGACTTACTGACGTCACCAGTGGTTGAGTGTGAGAGACTGTGAGGGCTTGAGATGGTGTAAATATGAACAGGACAGCACTTTGCTGCAACATATCACGTTACCATGAAAACTACAAAAAATATGATGTATAATTGTGTGTATTTATTTTGTACTTTGTACTCCCTGATGTGAATGTCTTCAGGCTCTTTCCTCACTAGATGAGAGGTAACTTCATATCATCTATTTTTGTCAAAACAGCTTCAATGACAAAATCAAATATTTGATGAATAGATAAATAAATATCTTCTGATTTCATGTTTATTTTTTGTTCCATCTTTAACCCTTAATGTTTTCTGAGTAAATTTAATAAGACAGGCTGAACACACGTGATCCGTCCTCTTTGTTTACCTTGTTTTACGTCTCCATGCGTCCATTGCTTACCCCGTGTTTAACGTCACATTGCAATGGTTTATCGGGGCAACCGTGGCTCACTGGGTTAAGAGGGTTGTCTGGTAACCGCAGGGTCAATGGTTCGATCCTTGACTGGGATGTGTCACGTGCCCTGAACAAGACACTGAACCTTGGCAGCCCACTGCTCCCTATATACAGGGATGGGTCAAACGCAGACAAATTTCCCCTTCTTGGATCAATATAGTATAAAAAATTTGTGGGTAATTCCCTTAGCCCTAAACCTTCATGGAGTGCGCCTCAAAGTCCGTAAGGAGGGACATTGGGATTTGGCCAAGGAGAAGGACCAGAAGGAGAAGAACTGTCACGGTTGGGCTTTGCCGTATGTGTGTGTCTCCTGATCATGCTCATTCTCTCCACCTGTGCCCAATCACCTGCCCCTGGCTTTTCCCTCTGCCAACCCCACTCATCTCTACTCACCTGCCGGCAATCCGCTCATCACCCCTCACATACTTATACTCTGTTCCAGTTGCCAGATTATCATTTGTTCTTTTTCCCTCTCCGTGGACTCTTTGCATCTCCAGTGGTTATCCCTCGTGTTGACCCTCTGCGTTCCACGGTTTGTGACTGTGCTTTTTGTGTTATGACTTAGCTTTTTATTGCAGTTTTGATTTCCCGCGCTCCCGGTTGGAGTTGTTTTTGTTTTCACTGCTAAATGCCCAGTAAAGCCTTGTTTTTCCCCTCAACTTGTTTCCTGTGTCTGAGTCTGCGCCTGTCTCTGCTCCACACCTAAACCCACACGGAACCCCGTGAACCGTCACAAGAACCAGAAGAAGAAGAAGGAGAAGAAGACCAGTGAACTTACTCAAAGTGCTGTTTGATCTGACTCTCCTCAGCGTATTTGGAGATGCCGTTAATGAATAAAGTGCGCTTCACCTGCAAGTCATGAAACAGGGTTTAAAACAGTGCATGTATTTGTTTACATCCTGTTTTCATGTCACTTGAAGAATTATTAACATTTCAAACTAATAAATGTGTGGCACAACCACAGGAAGTGGATAAAGGTTGTTGACCACATACCAGGTCGTCCTCCTTGTAGTGCATCTTGGACGTGTGTCTCCTCATGCTGTAGACCGTCAGCAGCAGATACATGAAGGCAAAGGAGGTGTGGAGCCACAGCAGGTTGGTCCTGAAACACACAATATCAATATGTATTGATCTCTGATATCTATTGATCTCTGATGACTCCAGTGGAACTCATCATGTACTAACCCAGACTTCAGGTTGGCTATCGTGGTGCGTCCGAAGCTGTAAGCGTTGTTTTCTGGAACAAAAACAAACAGAAGTCACCCTAACCCCAAGATTTTTACTTTATTTACAATAATTATAATCAACAAATACAGACCTAACAAACCCACAGACCTAACGAACTACAGGCCTACGGACCTAACGAACTACAGACCTACAGACCCACAGACCATTGTTTCCCCTACCATTATATTAGGGGGGGCATCCCGGCCCCCCCTTGAAGGTCAATTTCATTTGGTTTAATTTAATTTTCTATATAGCGCCAGATCACAACAGAAGTCATTTCAGGTTACCTTTCGTATAGAACAGGTCTACACCGTGTTCTTTTATTAAACAAACTAAATAGTCTTACGTTATTTATCTTATTTACACGACGGCATGTCATTTCTGTCTCTCAATGGTCGCACGTTTACAATTCTCCTCTGCTCTCTGTATCGCGCACGGCGGAGTTCCGCCCCGATGCGCACACAGACACGTGCGCACACACAGGTGAGCACACTCCCACCAGCGGACAGAGCGCGCGCATCGGAAAAAACGTTGCGTAAACCACCTGAAAAGCAGACAACAATATCTGCGTTTTTTTTAAATGGGCTGCAAAGAGACCATCTTGCAGCCTGCATGCGGATCTCGATAAATGGGCCAGATCAGGAGGCTCTGGAGATGTTCTTCCAGAAGCCCAGAAAGATGCACTGCAGTGAGAAAAGCTGCACACTTTGTGGATAATTGGCATGAAAAGAAATGTTCCGATGTTTAGTTCAATGTACAGATACTCCGACAGCCGTTGGAGTGTTTAGTGTACATCTGTGTCATGTAAAATGGCGGCTGCACTCTGACCTTTAGATTGACACCTCATTTGACCTATTAGGAGATTCCATGTCCTGTCCACAGCCTACAATAGCCAACGAGAGACCGCGTTGAAGGACAGTACCTGCCCCTCTTCTGTCGTGTAAAGCTTGAGCCAATTGCAACCGATTGTTCTGATGACTGACGCTTCGTATAGCAAATAAAATTTCGAAAATAATGATATACAGCTTCAGGGGTTAGATTTAGAGGCAGAACGAGGAAGTCACCGCAAGTCAGGTCGCTGTGTCTGTGCGTTAAATGCAAAATGTTTTTTGAGAGTTTTGGAGAATTTAGGAAAGTAAATAATGGTGAAATAACTTATAGATAACTGTATTTAGACATAAATAAGCTAGTTTGAATTATGAATACACAGCCTAGGTATGTTACTATGGTTACCATGGGTCCCCAAAATGTTTTTGGAAAGCGCCTAGACATACGCTAAGTAAAACATTCATTTTTTGTGGTATTGTTATCAAATTTGAACATGGACTAGGTAAGGCATCATGCTGTGGTCCCATTTTGTTTTACAGCTAATAAGTCCCAGCTATAGTCATCTGCAGGCATCTGTTTGCAAAGAAATATTCAGGTGGAAATAAAAACCTTCTATTTCAGTGTGTTCCAACTTCTATTAGTCAATACCAGTAGCACTTACAGTGATTCTGACCATTGGGGAATAAACTTCAGAGTGTTACCTTTCAAAAGAGACCAAAACCATACATGTACTCCCAATGGTTCAAGAACAGCTTTCAATTTACTTTGGGTATGCCTTGGATAGGCATTTCAGGTGAATTTTACAGGAGTGGTAACAGGTTAAAATAATAAGTTATATTGACTGCTGTCATTAAAAGAAACGCATGAACACCATGATTCCTTAAAGTGTTTGCGTCGGTGTCCGACCCCCCCCCAAAGCTGTAAACCTAGGGGAAACACTGCAGACCTAACAAACTACAGATCTACAGGCCCAGAGACCTACAAACACACAGGCCTACAGACCCACAAACCTACAGATCCAAGGACCCACAGATTTACAGATCCTCAGATCCACAGACCTAAAATCTCACATACTTACAATCCCACAGACCTACAAATCCACAGACCTACAAACCCACAGATCCACAATCCTACAGATCCACAGACCTACAGTTCTGATCTGACTGCTGTTACCTTCTTTAGAAGGGGGTCCGGGGACTGCTTGGCTTAGGAAAGCATCTTTACTGATAATTCGGACTAAAACCAATCAGACATAAGGAGAGAACACTGTGTGAAGAGTTCAACCTACAAACTGTTTAAAGGAACAGTGTGAAACATTTAGAATGGAATTTAATATTCATAACCATGTTTTAATTGGTGTATAATCACCAATTAATCAACTAATCAACTAAGAATTGCAGTGTTTTCGTTTAGAAAAAGACATTTATATCTACGTAGTGAGTCCGCCATGTTTCTACAGCAGCCCAGAAGAGAGACTGGGAGGATCTCACTACCAGCTGTCACTAAATCTTACACACTGTTCCTTTAAAACCCACATTTCAGACATTGACAAATGTTTTCTAATGTTCTCAGAAAGACAGAGGGTCACAGAGTAAAGTCCTCTGCTCTCTCCTGATTGGTCGGCGGCCTCGTTCTCACCTAGAAGGTCTCCGGAGAAGTTGACGGGCAGAACGATGCCGACAGAAAGAACGCCGACTACGACCAGCAGACCGATGATGTGACGCTGGAACGACAAGTAGTGGACCGCATCCTCACCACACTTCTCACGGATCTCCTCATCTCTGTAGGAAGAGGAGGAGGAGGAGGAGGAGGAGGAGGAGAAACGAGGAGGAGGAAGACGGGTCAACACAAACCAGAGTTCTGCAGATATCATCATTATTATTAATAATATTATTATAATTATATTACTATTACTGTTCATATGAATATTATCTTTATTATAATTATTACGACATTAGATGGTACTCACTTTATTCTGAAGATGGCCGTCAGCCACGAGCAGAAACCCTGCAGGAGAACACAGAAAATCAGGAGTGAAGAGGAGCGATGGAGACAGTGAAGAGGAGTGATGGAGTGATAGAGGAGGAGGGAAGAGGAGACAGTGAAGAGGAGTGATGGAGGAGTGGAGAGGAGACAGTGAAGAGGAGTGATGGAGGAGTCCTTACGTTGTCTCTCTGGTCGAAGTCGACGGAGGAGGACACAGAGGTGAGGCGTTCGTAGCGGTCGGGCGTTTCCGAGTGCATCGCCGAGGCAACACTGTGGACACAAACAGGAAGTAGTCAGCTGACATGTTAGCAGCTACATACTAACAGCTAACAGCTGACATGTTAGCCGTTAGCAGGTAGCCGCTCTGACCTCTGTGTCTGAAAGCTGATTGGACCCCTGAGTTGAGACACTGAATACAGAGGGAGCTAACAGGAAGTGGAAACACAAACATCAACCTGCTTCTGTGAAAGTGTTTCCAGGTGTGTTGAAATAAAACGTTATTTATACAGACGCTCTCTTCAAAGCCACAAGACTCCATTCATAAAATCAGTCATTTAAGCTTGCAGAACACGGGAGTTTACATACAACCACACTTCAAAAAGTCTGAATTTAGCACAGCTAAAGCTGACTAACTGTTACTTACGTAAGGGACCTACTTCTTCCACCTGTTTGTGTCGGGTAAGCTAACTAGGTAGCTAGCTAGCAGGTCACAGGGTTGACGACACACTACAAACACACAGCCTGTTACCTTTGGACCGGTTCATAGTTATCTCTGTCTCGTCTCCAGCTGAATTAACATTAAAACATGAGAAGTTTGGAGCAGTGTTAGCATCACTTCTGTTAGCATGATATCTGTTAGCATCACATCTGTTAGCAGGATATCTGTTAGCGTCACATCTGTTGGCATCACTTCTGTTAGCATCACTTCTGTTAGCATCACATGTGCAAGCATCGCATTAGCCAACAGAGAGTGAGGCTCTGCGGCCCCTGGTGGTCTGGGATTAGGGTCAACAGTCTGCTAGAAGTACAGTGAAAATAAGTCATGTTAGATTACCAATCAGAGAGCAGAACCCTGTTAATGAAACCAGAGGAGGAGGAAGAGGAAGACATACTATTCCCGCTCTTCCAGGCTGCTGAGACTCTTCTTCAGTCTTCAGGATGGAAACAGAAAGAGAATCACAAGCTGATGGGAGAGCGTCGTCGGGTTCAGTGTCTTGCTCAACGACACAGGACACGTAGTAGCCAAGGATTGAACCGCCCTACCTTGCGGTTATTGGACGACCCTCTCTACCCCTTAAGCCACAGCCCCCCCAAACATCTGTTCACAAACATCCATCAAATGAATAAAATAGAACCAACCAGATAGATGTTTTACTAATGAAACTTCCTCTCAGAGGTTTTTGGTTGACTTTGTTTTTTTACGCAGGTCAGTGAAAACAGTGAAAACCTGTTTGAGTGTCACCTGACTTGTTTTAACACAAGTCGTCTCTTGTTATTGACGACAGTTTAAAGGAGCAGTGTTTCTATATATTATTTACTATGTTTATCACCTAAAGATAAGAATCATTTCATTTAAAGACGGACGCCATCTTTCTACAGCAGCCCAGAAAGGACAAACCAAACACTGACTCTAGAGAGAAACATTTACATTTTTGTGTCGGCCATCTTGGTTCTGCACAAGGAAAGTTTCAGTTGGTTGCAATGTGTGACTTCACCACTAGATGTCTCCAGAACACACTGGCCCTTTAACCGACTGTCGGTGCAGCTGAGAGCTCTTTGGAGGATTTTACAGGAACGTGTCCAGTTATACATGCTGTGACCCTCAGACAGGTCCCGACCCACATGTTGGGAACCACCAGCTGCATGACATAATTGTTTGCTAAAGGTGAGTTTACCTGTCGGCGTCGGTGACAAGCGCCAGGCGGCCATAGTCCCACGCAACCTTACGTAGAATGGAAAAGACGAAGAGCAGCACCTGCAGAAGAAGAGAGAGGAGGACTTCCTGTTAGAGAGCACCTGATGCTGCTGGATGGAAAATCTGTATGTGGGTCAATCCATGAAGCTGCAGTATCGATTTTTCCTACAGTCAGTGAATGGTCCACACACTCTGCAGCTCCCACAATGCAACACCAGAGCTGCTCTGGACACCTTTTAAAGAGCTTTCGAAGACTTATCTTTATCATTTCTTAGTAATTTCATTATTTATTTCTGTCTGTGTCAGAATGGATTAGTCAGTGCCCCCCCCCCTCGTGTGCCGTACTGAGCATGTGCAGCGACTCACCAGGAAGCACATGAAGTCGAGGGCGAGCACGGTGGGCACCCCTCCGAAAGCCAGTCCCTGCAGCACGGTGCTGCGGATGCGAGCCGAGTAGCAGTAGTCTTTGGACTCGCTGTGGGCGGAGCAATTGTCTCGGACGCCGCATGCCTGGCCGCCGCCGAATATGGCCATGGTAACGATCAGCACTGTGAGCATCGCTCACTGTCGCATCCTCGCAGAGAAAATCTGGGGGGGGGGGAATAGACACATTGGAAAAGGCGACCTTTAACCTTTCACTCATCAGCAAACAGAAATCACTCAGCTAATCAATGACCTGTTTACTAGAACTAGAGTCAATGCCTCCAACCAGTCAGTTTACATCCACACTTTATTCTGTTAGGCCGTAGTGTGAAATTATCATAATCAAGGTTACTTGTGGTTTCTAGAGTCTCAAAAGGTAGAACAGGAACTAGCGCCTTCAGGTATCAAGCTCCTCTTCTGTGGAACCAGCTTCCTATTTCAGTCTTGGAGGCAGAAACCCTCACCACATTTAAGAGTGGGCTTAAGAACTTCCTCTTTGATAAAGCTTATAGTTAGGGCTGGTTCAGGTTTATAGTTAGGGCTGGTTCAGGTTTATAGTTAGGGCTGGCTCAGGTTTATAGTTAGGGCTGGTTCAGGTTTATAGTTCGGGCTGGCTCAGGTTTATAGTTAGGGCTGGTTCAGGTTTATAGTTAAGGCTGGTTCAGGTTTATAGTTAGGGCTGGCTCAGGTTTGCCTTCAGGTTTTCCCAGCCCTAGATATGCTGCTATAGACCTAGTCTCCTGGAGGACTTTCTAGGATACACTGAGCTCCTCTCACCTCCTCTCATCTGTATATATTCATGTCCCATTAATGCACATTAATAAATTCTTCCTCAGAGTCCTTGTGTTTTCTCTCCTCACAGGTTTTCATGGATTGTGGTTTTATCTGGAACCTGATCCTGCCTGACACCCACTATTATTAATAATATGACACTATTATTATTATTAGTCACATTACTATTACTGATACCATTACTGCTTTTATTATCATAATTCTATTGTATCCACTGCTGCTGTTATTAGCAGTCATAATTATTCAATTATTATTAGTGCTACTACTGCTGTTACTACTCTCATATGAATCATATGCATTGATTATGTTGTAATTATATTGTTTTTCATTCTTTACATGTGAGGTAATTATTATGTGATATAATTCTGATGTGAGGATCTAAGAACAGAGGATGTTGTATGTTGTACAGATTTTAAAGACCTCTGGGGAGAATTTGTGATTGTATTTGTTCATGGTTCATGTTTCCCTCAGGATGAACTATAAGAACTGTATTGAGCTTTCATCATCAGATACTTTGTACTTTATAACCAAATACCTGCAGAACTAAAGATGTTTCTGGGTCGGACATACTTCAACAGATCAATAAGGTTGATTCATTATAATAAATTTTCATTTATAATAAACAGTCCGGGATGGTATGGTGGTTTGTTCACAGAATTTAATGTATTCTGTGATGCAGTCCGTCATGCTGTTGAGGTCCTCCCCATGTGGTCCACACAGCACATCCCAATCCGTTGACTCAAAGCAGTCCTGCAGGGCATCATTAGCCTGAGAGTACATCCACACTACTCCGTTTCTATTTCAAAACTCCGTTTCCAAATAGAAACGATCTGCGTCCACACAGCGTTTCAGCATCATTTCCGAATTGATGCATCCACACGGCAACCTTCGAAAACGGATATCACGTGACCATTAACATACACTGGGCATGCGCGTGACGTTGTAAACAGGAAGTGGATTGGTTGCTTAGTTTAAAGAAATACGACAGAGTAATGAAGTAGTCTTTAATAATGAAAGGTTGTTTGATACTTAAGATCTTCCTCTAAAATATTCCTCTATAAACTCAAACAGACACAGTTTGTGGAAAGTTTTAGAAGTTTTATTTTTCAGACTTAGTTACAGCGCTGTGGGTCTTGTTCTATCTCTCTCTCACACATATTAAATTTACTTTAAAATCAACATTTACACGTAAACATTTACTAGATTATGGGTCCATAAATGTGGTCAACACACGTCTCTCACTCGTTTCCTCGTTGTTGTCTGTTCTCACTCGTAGCTCTGCTGGTGGCTTAACTATCTGTCCTACTGAATAGCATTTACTACTAACCGTGGCTTCAGATGTCCGCTCCGTAGGGCTGATAACGCCGCTGGTCACGCCGCTCACTAATCGCTCCATTAACAGCTGCTTCCTCTGTAATAATGCAGACTTTAACTGATCAACAGCTGCTGGTAAAGACAACAAGGTCAGCAACGCCTGCAATCAGTTGTCCATGTTAGATTAACCTGGTAGTCGATCGGTAATCAATGTTGTTGTTTGTGAGCTTCCGGGTAACGGTAACGTGATAGGCATGTGAGGAATCAGGGAAGGATACGTCATGACACCTAAGAACCAATCAAGTAGCGAACGCGGGCGTCATCGTTTCTAAACATATCCGGTTTCGGCCGTCCATACGAAAACGCAACCCCGGAGTTTTCAAACTTATCTGACCTCGGGAGCGTTTTCAAACTTATCCGTTTAAACATAGCAAAACATATGCGTTTCCAAAACAAAAACGGAGTAATGTGGACATGCCTGAGACCACCTCCTCACAGTCCTGGTGGTCACAGGCAGCCTCTGCACCAGAGGAACATACCTGGGTGTCAACAGGATCAGGTTGTGATCAGACCTGCCAAGGGGGGGAAGGGCAGTGGCACTGTATGCATCCTTAGCATTAGCATACAGAAGGTCCAGAGTTGTATTGTTCCTTGTGGGGCAGTCAACATACTGGTGTAAGGTCGGCAGGGCTTTATCCAGAGTGGTGTGGTTAAAGTCTCCAGTAATTGCCAAAAATGCACCAGGATGTTGACTCAGCAGTCCAGACACAGTGGAGTGGATGGTGTCCACTGCTGCCTCAGCGTCAGCTGATGGCGGGACGTACACAGCCGCAACAATGGCGGATCTGAACTCCCTCTGCAAATAATAAGGACGCATCCCCACGGCTAACAGTTCAATGTCCCGGCTACGGAAGCGTTCGTTCACACACACGGTCAGGATTGCACCACCTCTCGTTCACATACACTGCAATCCCGCCACCTCTCTTCTTACCGATCTGTACAACATCTCTGTCCGCCCTCTCAGTCCTGAAGCCTGGCACCGACGCACTGTGATCCGGAAAATCCGCATGCAGCCATGTCTCCGTGAAACACATGACGATACTCACTGAAGTCCCTCTCAGTCTTGACCAGCGCGCCGAGCTCGTCCGTCTTATTCGCCAAAGACCTCACGTTCCCGTTATAATCGCTGGTACCAAAGGTTTGTACTTCCTCGTCTTAGCCCTCTGCTTAGCGCCCGACCTGCAGCCCCGAGCCCTTCTCCGCAGTTCCTCCGGGATCTCAGGCCTGGCGGCGAGGAGCAGCCGCGGTTTGCTCAGCGCAATCAGCTGATCGTGGCAATAGACAATGGCCCCACTCATTGTGTGTGGCTCTCCGTTACAAACAGGAAGAAAAGTAACATAAAAGCCACGAGAAAAGTTGAGAAAAAGTTACGGTCCGTTGTCTGACCGTAATTTAAACCAAACATGAAGGAAAAAGAACAAAAGAAAAGTGAAAAAAAGACAAAAAATTAAAACACACGCAGCTGCTGCGACAGGCAGTGAAAAAAAAGTTAATTAAAATTCATTAAAAGGGGGTGAATGGTGATTCACTCTTAACAAACATTGTTCTATTCTTTTCAGGTCACCTGAGAACACTACTCATCTTTTCCCTTGTAAACAGTCCATTTTCTCCAGCGTTGATCATGGATCCCTGCTTTGATCCTTAGAAAAAGAGTATATTTTTCCATAGAATATATTTCCTCCACAATGTCCAGCCACTGTCCTGGACTTGGAGGGTCACTTTTCAACCAGCTCCTTGTGATGGATGGCCTTTTTACAAGCGAGTGTCAGGATTTTAAAGAGGTAGAAGTCCTTTTTTTGAATTATGTCGCCAGGTATCATTCCCAGGTACACAATCCGGGGCTCTCTGGGAATCTTGTAGCATAGAATCTCCTCCAGAGTCTGAATAACCCTGTCCCAGAATGCTTGTATTTTAATACATGTCCAGAACATGTGTGAGTGGTTAGCATTCATCTGCCCACACTGTCTCCAGCATGGCTGCTCTTTACCCAACTGTTTATATTTTATGTGGGGTGTTGTAAAAAAGCGGATTAAGTTCTTCCAACCGAAATTCCCTCCATTTTCTAGAGCTGGTGGATGTTTGTTGCGTTCTACACATGGAATGCCAATCACTCTTCGACAGTTCAACGTTCAGTTCTACTTCCCATTTCACTTTTACATATAGTGTATTTCTTCCGTTTCATTTTTGTAAACTACTGTACAGTTTGGAAACCAACTTTGAGGGGGTTTGTTTGTATGCACCTGTCAGCACTTCAATCACTTCATTACCTTCTGATGAAACCCCTTTTTTAATTTCTGTATCATAGAAATGTCTTAGCTGTAAATATCTAAACATGTCCCCATTTTCTAAATTAAATACTGTTTTGAGTTTTTCAAAAGTTTTAAAAGTTTTTCCCTCTATGAGTGCACATACCGCTGTTATCCCTTTTTCTCTCCAGCGTACAAAAGTATTATCTATCTGTCCAGGTCTAAACTTGGGGGTCTGAGAAGGCCAAATCAGAAGTTTACTGTCTCCTTCCAGGTTGTATTTTTTGACTATCTCATTCCAAATTTTCAGTGAATTTTCTAAGATGGAATTTTCTCCCTTTCGGTCAGTATATTCTTTTCCACCTAGCCTGGCCTGAGGTTGAGATTGACCCAGATTTAGCTCAATGTGTTTCCATCCAGCTTGATACTCCGGGGAGCACCAATAACCAATGTACCTCAATTGGGCCGCGTAGTAGTATTCTCTGAGATTTGGCAGTGCTAGGCTTCTGTTTTCCTTGTCAGTTTGGAGTGTCTTAAATGTGACCCTTGGCCTTGCTCCTGCCCAGATAAACCGGATATCTGTTTGTCCCATGCTGTAAACTGAGATTCTGGGATTCTCACTGGTAATGATAAGAAGAGGTAGAGCAACCTTGGCAGCAGATTCATTTTCACCACCTCAATTCTTGAACTAAAGTCCAGTACTAGTGTTGACCATTTTGTTATATCTTTCTGTATCCTATCGTTTATTATATTGTAGTTTGTTTCATATATTTTGTTAATTTCCTGAGTGATTAGCACTCCCAAGTATTTTATTGATTTTGCTTCCCACTTCAGTTTATATTTCTGCCTATTTGCCTTACTTGGTATGTAGTTAAGAGAGAGTACCTGTGTTTTTGTAATGTTCAGTTTATAGCCCGACATCCGACCATAGTCGACCAAATTGTCATAAGTTTGGGAATTGTTGAGTTGGGATTTTGGAGATAGGTAATAATGTCATCTGCAAAAAGTCCTATTATATGTTCCTCCTTTGCTATATTGATCCCTTTCAGCTCTTTGTTTTGTCTGGTAGCCTGAGCCAGAGGCTCTATGAATATTGCAAAGAGGGAGGGGCTAAGGCAGCAACCCTGGCGAGTGCCTCTAAACAGCTTAAAACTACCTGTCAGATTGATCTTTATTCTAGCAGTTGGGTCTCTATATAAAGATTGTATGCACCTAATGAATTGGTTATTAAAACCCAGCCTCTCTAGCACTCTGTACAGAAAAGACCAGCTGACTCTATCAAACGCCTTTTTCCGCATCGAGACTGACCAGAGCTGCACTTAGATGTTGTTTGTTAGCCTGCTCTATAATGTGTAAGGTTCGTCTGACGTTATCCTGTGTTTGTCGACCTTTTATAAACCCTGTCTGATCTTCATTTATTAATTTGGGTAGAAAGTGTTCAATTATTTTTGAGATTATAGATGTAAACAGTTTATAATCTTCATTCAATATAGAAATTGGACGTTAAGATTCACAACATTCTTTATTTTTACCTTCTTTTGGGATGACTGATATCACAGCCTCTTTCCATGATGGTGGTGCTTCAGCTTTGCTGAGTGTCCAATTTGAGGATTCTAGCAATACAGCGGCGAGGTCTTCTTTAAAGATTTTGTACCATTCATTCGGAAAACCGTCACTCCCTGGGCATTTATTTGTTTTCAATTTACTAATCGCCAAGTCCAATTCTTTTTTTGTGATGGTGGCAGTTAATTCGTCGTTTTGTATTTTTCCTATGGAAGGAAGATCTAATGATAACAAGTATTGTTTAATGTCATCTTCATTGACAATCTTAGGCTGTAAGTATAAGGTTTCGTAGTAATCTTTAAAGGTTTTATGAATTTCTTCCGGTTCGTAGGTTATCTTATTAGTTAAGGGGTCTCTGATCTTGTGTATTGAATTAATAATTTATTGTTTCCTGAGGCGTGCTGCTAAAAGTTTTGTTGCTTTCGGGCCCGATTCATAAAAAGTTTGTTTTGTGAATCTCAATTTCTTTTCTAGTTCGTCATTCAAGATGTTCTCTATTTGCTTTTTTAGTTCTTTTATCTGGTTTGACAATCCTTTGTCCCCATCTTTTTGTTGTTGTTTCTCTAGTTTTCTCAATGTTTTCTCTAATTCATCGTATTTTGTCCTCTTCATCTTTTTTAAGTATGCCGTTCTTGAAATTAGTCTCCCTCTCATTATTGCTTTAACCTTGTCCCATACGATGGTTGGGCCTACCAGGCCATTGTTGTTATCTTTTATGCAGTCACCAATTTCTTTCTTAATCTCATTTAGAGCAGTCTCATTATTTAAAATGCTAATATTTAGTCTCCATAATGTACTCTTCAGTCTGTTATTCAAATAATCTGCTGATCCTATTGAGCACTCCTTCACCCTGTGTCTGTTTGTAGTGTTCATTAGGAAATAGTCTAGCCTTTTGACTATTATATATCTGCCCTCTTTGTCTCCCTTTTCCTTAATCAGTTCAAAGTTAAGAGAGTTGGAAATCAGAGTAGCTACTCCTCTTTTTTGACTATTTTTACAAGAGCTGAAATAAGAGTTTAAGTACCCAAACATTTTCAGCTTATTATGTTCTTGTTTCGACATGTGTGTCTCTTGTAGAAATATGACTTGTGTATTGTCCTTTTAAATTTTTGCTAGCACTGTACTCCTCTTGACTGGATTACTCAGACCATTCACATTTAAGGAGATAATTCTCAAGTTATGTGACCCTATCATACATATACCAAATAATAAATGAGATTGTTGCCCCCCAAAACAAAATCCGAACGAAAACATCAACTATGAAACACATAAGTAAACATACCTCCAAACGAAAAGGAGGCTCTTGCTCCTCCTCAACTGTGACCCCATTGGTGGGTCGAGGGTGGTGCCTCTCGTTAGGAGAGGGCTCTGCATTAAGGATGGCTGGTGAGTCAAAAAGCGGTAACTCCACCATCCTGTGAGTCCAACGTAACCCATGAAAAAATGAACCCGTCACTCCCAGACACATAGTGATCAATATAAAGCCAAAAAGCAAATCTATCATAGTCCTGTAGCACGACGCCCCCAGCTTTGGGGGTTCTCGGGCTCAGCCCCCCTTAAAATATTGTTCGGAAAATGGCCTTATTGTTCGCAAATATTGTGCATGTGTACATTTTTTTTACCGGATTAAACAGCAAGGTATGGGCAACACTATCATATAAGTCACTTTTTACACACTCCAAACACAACTATAGACTACTAATATAAGCATCTAGAAAATGTGGCATAAAAGCATGAAATCGTGGGCAGAAATATCCCTTATGTGTACAGCAAATCAATATTTGCACCACGAAGCTAGCGGCTACCGAGCTCACCAATACATTTTCTAGCATTAGCATTCGTCGCCGAACGCATAAATACCTTCGGTTTTTCTCTCCGTGGAACCAGTAGAAAGCTGTGAGTGGACAACGGTACCATGGCACTGCCCTTCGCCAAAAAAAATTGTTGGTTTTTGGTGACGTTTTATGAAAAATTTGTACAATAACATCGAAGATTATCCGGTTCAAAGCTAGAATCATTGTTGGCAACTGCATCCTGTTCACTGCCGAGCTGTTTCCTGTGGAAGGGGGGTCAATCCACAATGGGCGAGTGGTCAGACTTTCGACAAATGGAAATTTACGCTCGGGGAGACGCGGCACTTCTTGCAACTTTACTCGCTGAAACTTCTGTCAATCAAGACCCGCTTTGACATCCGCCTTCCTGAGACTCTGACGCGTCAAAGGCGGGCTTATTGACTGAAATTGACTGATGATAGGCTGAGCTACAGCCCCATACACACGCATCAACTGAGAAAATCCTATGGCTGAAAGCCAGAGACAGGCTCTGATGTTAGGAATCTCAAAATGATTCCTAACAGCTGTATTTGGATGTATTGAATAATATGAGTGATAAAAAAAGTGTAATATATAGTTATATAGTATATAAAAGTACAATGTAAGAGCTGCAACAGCTGGTTCGAAAATGACAACCTTGCGTGACCTCTCTGTACAAAGCCTCTTATTCTTCACTTTATCCCAGCCAACCTTTATTCAACAACTACTGATCGGTTGTGCTATGATTTGGGAGAGTTTTTAGGCAGCCAGCTGCATTATTTCAAAAACATAATATCAATAAAAGTGCTTTTTTTCAGGCGAACCTGAATATTTTCAATTTGAGCTGTGTAATATTTTCATGTACTATATTAACCAGCACCATATACACAATATTATCCATCTCAACAATCTCACAAGTGTTGTGATCTGATTATAGCATCAAAAATTATTAAAATAGACCTTGTAGTTACAGAACTGTGGTCACTTTAGTATGGGTATGCCATTTTCGAGCAGAGGCCTACAAATAGGGCTAGAGCTTAAGAGGTTTTAAGAGTCTCAGAATTGTAACAGTCATACCGGGTCGTGCAGCTTGCGTCTTCGTTCATGTTTGCTCGATGCGTCCCCTCTGGAACTCCTGGAGTTTATCCCTTGCTCTCTGGGCCGCAGCTAGTCCTCTCTCCCGATGACCCGATGCCTGCTGCCATTCCAATAAATCACGAACCCGTGTTTCCAGGTTGCTCTCTCCTTTGGTAGTCTCCCGCTCTTCCACGGGAAATCCACGTCTCTTCAGCTCCCGCTGCGCTTCTTGTGCACTAGTGTATGTTCTGGTCCCCGTATCCCAGTGAATCCATATAACGTTTTCTTTATCCCATTGTATTCCCTGCGTTTCTTGACTATCTCAGTCGTATAGTCGTGGTCGAAGTATAGAGTTCTGTTGCCCAGTTGGATTTTTCCCTTTTTCCAAGCTTCTCGCAGTACCATGTCCTTGGTTGTGAACTCCTGGAAGTTGATAATAATAGGTCTCGGTGGGGCTTCGGGATGGGGTTTCTGCCGATGAGCCTGCTGTATTTTCAAATCCAATTATTGTGGTAATGGCAGCTCGCTTCTGAGGAGTTTAACGATGAACTGTGGTACCGAGTTTCCCTCCTCTCCCTCTGCCACTCCAAAGAGGCGCATGTTGTTTCTCCTGGGCCGGGACTCTAAGTCCGTTAGTTTTTGCTGCAGGATTCTTTGCTGTTCCAGGCAGGTGCAGATCGCTCCGGTCGCCTCCACCGCCCAACCCTCCACCTGTTCCACGCGTGTCTCCGCTTCTCCAACTCGGTCGGACAGACACTGCATTGAATAATTTCCTGTCTCAGGCAGTCATTGTCCCCCTTGAGATCAGTTTTTAGCTCCTTTATCGCCCTAATTATGTCACCGGGATCTATGCTCGTTCCGGGGCTCCTCCGGCCTTAAGCTGCTTCACTTTGATTGCTAGCTTGATGTGCTTCGATGTTGTTAGCTTTCACCGACGAGGAGCCTTTATCTTGAGTTTTGGGCATTTTTTCTTCTCCTTTATGGCTTCTGGTGATTATTTTCCCACTCATCTACCCCTTTCACTGATAAATATCGAATTTTCGAGTTTTTCCGTGGGTATATTGCGATATATCTGGGAGCGCGGTTTCACTCTGCGTCTAACTACTCCATGGGCATACCGGAAGCAGAAGTAACTTAATGTTTAAGTGACTTAATGTTTATAAAACAAACTCATTCAGAATCAACCGTCCAAAACACAACAATATTCAGTTTATTTAATATAAATCAGAAAAGCTCAGTGGAGGTGATCAGTTATGATGAATGTTCTATATTTGAGTCTCTAGGGGGCACTAACAGGGTTCCACACTGTGGTTCTACTGGGTTCTATGTGTGCCGTGACGGTCTGACCACCCCCCCCCTCTCTCTGTTGTCATGGTGAAGTAGCAGCATGACTCATCTGAAGCCTCCAGTCTCAGAGCACCAGTAACACCTGAAGACAGACCAGTAACACCTGAAGACAGACCAGTAACACCTGAAGACAGACCAGTAACACCTGAAGACAGACCAGTAACACCTGAAGACATTTCATCACTGCAAAGAGAACTAACAGTAAAATGAATACAATGTTTCCTGTAATAAAAACACCATCCATCATGTTGTGAGTCATGTGACGTAACAAGCTGCTGTTATTCACTGATAAATAATAAAGACTTCAGCTCTTCGTGGAACATGTGGTTAAACTCTTTCCTCACTGACTCTGTGACTTTAGCTCTGAGTCCATAAAACCATAAAGATCAATGGTGTATCTCACTTCAAAGAGTTCAACATAGAAAGAATGTTTCCATCCGTTATCTTTTAATCCAGGAGGTGTCGATCAGATTGTTTCTATATTCAGCTGCTGAAGCTCCGCCTTCCTCACCAGAACTCTGCTAGCATTTAGCCTAGCCTGGTCTAAGACCTCCACTAGCGCCTGATAGTTTAATCCTAGAATAAGACCTCTACTAGCCCCTGATAGTTTAATCCTGGTCTAAGACCTCTACTAGCGCCTGATAGTTTAATCCTAGACTAAGACCTCTACTAGCCCCTGATAGTTTAATCCTGGTCTAAGACCTCTACTAGCCCCTGATAGTTTAATCCTGGTCTAAGACCTCTACTAGCGCCTGATAGTTTAATCCTAGACTAAGACCTCTACTAGCCCCTGATAGTTTAATCCTGGTCTAAGACCTCCACTAGTACCTGAGAGTTTAGTCCTGGTCTAAAACCGCCACTAGCCCCTGATAGTTTAGTCCTGGTCTTAAACAATCAGGTGAAGCTTCATTAATAGTTTCAGGAGATTCAGTGAAGAAACAGCAAAACGTTCAGGAGCTAAAAAAAGAAACCGTCTTATTGCTGCTTCCTGGGTCTGTAGTCCAGAGATAATAAAGATAACAAAAAGAACTGCTGAGAGACTTCGTGGCGCCGGCTCACGATATATTCATGATTAATTAGCAGTGGCAGCTGGTCAATAGAGGGCAATGGGGCATGGCCCCACCTTGAGCCACACAAAACAAAAAATAATTAAAATTAAATTATAATAATAATAAATTATACAAATTGTCAATATTTGTGTTTTTGAACTGTGGAATGTACCCAGTAATATGTGTAAAATGTAATATCTGCGCAAAATATATGCTTTTCCTGCTCGTCCTCTCCGCCTGTGTGCTCATCTGCTTCTGTACTAGCTGTACACCAGACAGGTTTGGCTAGCTGGATGACGTCATGCTAATAACTTATTTAGCTTTTTAAAACAATGGGGACAGATCCAGCACGGACAGTTAGGGAGTGAGGGATGAGGAGGTAAGGAAACATGAGAACACCAGGGTAGGGAGTGAGGGATGAGGAAGTAAGGAAATATGAGAACACCAGGACACACATGGAGAACTCTGTCAAGCTACATATTAGGCAAAGTGAACATCTTTTCTTCTACATAGTTGTCCTGAGTCTCATCTGCTTAACTTGGTCATGGAGGCATCAACATGTAATTGAGATGTTAAATTAACAGTGAAAACTCATCATAGCTTAATTTAATATCAGTATTCATAATTACACTTCATGTTTACTTCTCTTGATCTTTACCTCCTATAACAAGGTCCATAGGGGCATCTCAATAAATAAACATGTTCTATTATATTATATTATATTATATAAGTGTTATTTACTGCTTTTTTTCGTGTTGGAATAAATGTTAAATATTTAACTGCAAAGTAGTAATACGTGTTTGAGACTTTAATTTTTTTGCATTAAATCATACTGGGATGTTTGCTGACATTGATAGGATGGCCCTACCTAGAACATGTTCCACCAGCCGCCACTAGTAATTAGTTTACTTTCTCGAGGCCTCAGTTCTCCGGTTAATGTTTGCCTCTCCAGAGACCACAGAAGAAGAGTGGAGTGAAACCTGTTGACACATTCAGGGTCACGTTTTCTTCTTCTGCACTGAGAAGACAACCTCCTTCACTCTGATGTCACAGGAGGCCTTATCAGCCGGCTGCAGGCGTCTGAACTCAGTGACACTGAACACACTGGAGAGGCAACGTTCACAAGACCTCTGAGGACCGGTTCTAGTCAAATGTCCACAGTGGACGTCGCAGGACCGGTTCTAGTTTGTGTCCACAGTTGACCTCTAAGGACTGGTTCGAGCTTGTGTCCACAGTGGACCGGTTCTAGTTTGTGTCCACAGTGGACCGGTTGTAGTTTGTGTCCACAGTGGACCTCTGAGGACTGGTTCTAGTTTGTGTCCACTAAGAATCTCATTTAATGTTTGTTTGTTTTCTCAGAAAAAAGACGTTGTTCTTATGATGTCTAGT